TTCAGATACTGTATACTGATACATTTTTTTTTTGGTGTTTGATGCAATATAAAAACAGAAAACCAGACAACAAAATCCATCTGGAGTGAAATGTTTAATAAAATCCATGACATTATTGCATACGCAGCGAAAAATATATATGAAGGTGATGACATCACTAAGATCCAATGGCAAACATCACTGGTTCGCTGAACCTCGTATCAGACATAAGTCTTATTATTTTCAAAGAAACCCTATATAGGCCAAACCCTATATAGGCCTAACCCTATAGGCCTAAGTAGATTGGACACATAAGTGTTAAAGCAGTGCTAATGAATACATGCAAAGTTTTCCATGCATTCACACAGGAAGAAAGGCATCAGATTTCATTCACATTTGTAAACTTAGCAAAACTTTCTGAAATTGAAATCGTTTACGCTTTACTGTGACTACATTCAATACATGTGGTAACATAATTCAGTCTTAGTGAAGACCAGATCACCAATACTGATTCACATAAAAAAAGCAATAAAAAATATTAAAATAATATAATAATCACCAAAAAAACAGACGGGTTTTCCCATCCACCATGCAGCATTATGACAAACGGTTCATTTACTTATGTCACCCTACAGATACACCCAGAACAATATCACACACAATTTAAAATCTATTGGAATACGATGATATTCAACCCTTTCTACGGTGATTCTGAAAACATTATCTATCAAGTCAGCTAACTGGCAAATATTTAAAATTTCCAAAACTCCAGCAATACCATAGTTATTTGGCTTCAATAGTTTCTTTTGTCATACAGCAAGATTCGATATTAAGTTGTCTCACAAACTATGCGGACAGCAGACATAGAAGCATGTTTACGGTTACATTGGGGTAAAAGCAGGGGTAGCCCCCAGGTGGTGGCTACGGTAAAATCTGTCTGGGAAACATGAAACAAGGTGGGGATGAGGTTCGACTCTGGTCCATCTTTCGGAAAATAATGAAAAGCATTAAAAATATAATTCGCATCCAACAGCAAGTAACTTGCAAATTACAGAATAGACAATATTCAACTCCACTCCATGCCATGATACTCATACTTCTTAACATAAATGAAGGATAAAAATATGAGCTCTGCATTTTTTATGACAGACTCGATCATGAGAGTGCCACTATAAAGCAAAAAATACCTGTGATTTGCCCATATATGGGTGTGATTATGACATCATCATGGCCGTATGGAAAAGTCATACATTTTTGTCACATTAAAACTGATAGTGGTGATAGAGCTTTTTGCAACTTTTAAACATTTTTTCCAGTATACACTGAAGACGAGCTGATCACACAAATATTTAGAAAGTTATTTTTTGACTATGAACATGATTATTTTACCAATACGCCCGTTACATAGAAATCGGTAATAAAAAAAAATGTGCAGACCACAAAAAAATGTTGTCATCTCAGAGTTGTACAACGTCGCCCAACGCAATTTATCGTCGCAACTGTGTTTGTAGGAGTTAAACGTAGATGCCAAGGGTCACCAAGACATTTCGGCGGGGAAAGTTGTGTCGCAGAATATTGAACATGTCTAACATTTTCACAATGGCCGAAGAATGTGCCTGACGATAAATCGTGTCGGACTATGTTGTCTGAGTTGGAGAATTATATTCTGAATGACTAGGCACTTGCCCCATCAATACTGATTCAAAATCACACCATTCATATTAATTATGTAAGTTAGAATTCATCTACAAATACAAGAAGTGCGGTGAAAAAAAAAGTAAAGCCAATATTATGTGGAAAACAAATACAAATGACAACTGAACAGAAAACGAGGATGAAAAATCAAAAACTACAAATGACAGAAGATGGTTACAATCAAATGTAATGGGGTAAATATTCAATAATTTATTTAATGTTTTCAATGATATGCTGATGGACATGTAGGTTCCTTCACTCTAAGCACATAGATTCTGTTAGCTGCTTTAAATATTTGGAAGATTAAGCAAATTAGTAGTGTTCCAACCAAGTAAACGAGTAGGCGGAAATATGACATGATGACATGACATTTAACCTTTAATGCTATAATGCACTGCAATCTTTACTCCTGCTTCATGCAAATTACCTCATGCATATTCAGGCTGTTAATTAAATTTGCAAAAAGATATTAAATACATTTACATTGTATTATAATATTGACGAAATGTATAAAAACTGGATATATTACAAACAACCTGCTAAAGTTTTACTACTTATAAATATGAAATGCAATTAATAGTTTATTGAATTCTTTATATGTTTCATGTACATGATTTCTATGTACATAAATATATATATATATTAACTAATCAAAAATAATTCAATTTACATAACTATCAGTATCTGTACATAAGAATATACCACTAAAGCTGATCATGTTTTTTTTCCCATTATAATTATTTTAAAATTCATAAATATATATATGGCAATCTATTGTATAATACAGATTACTACATAAATGGTTAATACTGGCATATTTAACAAAAAGTAAATAATATGAAATACAAGCATATCAGAAAATCCCAGAAACAAGTTCGATAATGCAATAAATATTATTGAACATAACAAAAGAATTATCTATGATTTTGCATCATATATATATATATATAATATATATAATAAATATATATATATATATATATGATGCAAAATCGGTGAATTCAACAGTAAAACAACATTATTTGTGTTCTATCAGCGTACATATATATACTGTATATATACTGGTCTCTTATACACATCTAGAATATGATGCAAAATCGGTGAATTCAACAGTAAAACAACATTATTTGTGTTATTTGTGATATAACTCAATTAAAAATGAAAACAGATGAATGTATAATATACATGCAAGCATACACAAAATAGCAGCAATTAATATTAATAATAAATCATTGTAATAAATTAAAAATAAAGAGAACCATATTCCCTTTCAACTGTTAAACAGTGGCGGATCTTAGAATGTTTTTGCCACATGGTCTAATGACAGCAGTGGTGGCAGAACCTATGGTTGAGAGAGGTAGCATTTGTGGATCCCCTATTGTGTTTAGCCCCCTTCAATCTGTTATCTAAATAATTTCACACAGATCAGTGATTTTTGGCTGCTGCCGGGAAGGGGAATCCCTGGATCCGCTACTGGTGTAACAGTAAATCAACTAATATCAGTTGATTTTACTTAACTCATGAAGATATTATAGTAAAGTTCACTATAATATCTCCATGCTTATCTAAATCCATTATGAAGCTGCTTATTAAAATTCTTGCTGATTTTAATTGATAGTGTATGATTTCTCTTACTGAAAATCCAAATCTAGATTCATGTTTCTCAAGGTATTAAAAAAAGTGACGAACACCACTATGTTAAACCAGCAGTGAGACACCATACATGAACAAACAACAATAAACACAATGGTAGACAATATGTAAAATAGGTAAAATATGCGATTAATGCATTAAAAAATTAAGCTACAAGTTTCTTTCTTGTAAAAAATATACTGTCTATGGTAGAATCTGAAATACTGTAAAAGCACTGCCCATGTCTCTGCTCCATAGATAATAGGTGGGAGAGTGGAGAGCAGTGTTGAGATGACCCAAACCCCCACTTAAGGGGAGAGACAGAATGATGATGAATGATGAATTTTCCATTGAGAGCTAATAACATATATAAAAAATTAATGAGATTTATTGGATTTCCGGTATTAACTCAACAGACAGTATATTCTTAACTTTAAAAAAATTACAATGTAAATGCTAATATCTGACATACAGTAATGTTATTTTTAGACTGGAAGAACATTCTTATAATAAAATATAGTTAAACTTGCCATAAAATGACCAAATGATTCAACATCAAACAGTTTACCCAGCCCACCATCAAATAACAACAATTGGAAGAAACCTCAATTATAAATGTTGTACAATAAGTAAATCAATATATAAGCAATGATACAAATACTAGTTAAATTAAAAGATAAAATATTTCATTCATGTTAGGTATTGTTTTGTGAATATGATTATTAAAAAAAACCATACTGTTTTTACATTGAGAAAACATTCTAAGGTGTGTACAGAAATCACAACTTTCTTCTTAAATCAAACAAAATAGTGACTACATTATCCATTAATATAATCTGTTTATTACTCATAACACTTTTAAATAATAATTAATAAGATAACATGGTAGAAATATTGTTAATACAATCTTGCATTTGGGTAAGGGAAGGGTATTGTGTTACGAAGATACCATTGTCAGGGTAACTACAGTGAAGATTCATTCCGATATACAATCGATATATAATCGATATATAATCAATGACACCTATATACTTATAAACCCTGATAATGCTATTTATCACCTCTACTCATTATCAATTTCTAAAATTGCAATATTACCATTGATACTATTAATGTGTTCCCTCTGATACATATTTTAGATGATTATTAACAGCAATCTAGATTTTAATATTTAGTCAGAATTTTAACATATATCGCACTGGCTGCTGAACATCAATCAATAGGACCAATGAGGCCAGTCATTTAAATTTAATACCTGCAAAGCCATAATGCTTTCACCAAGATACATGTTGAAATTAAGATGGCAAAAACTTGAAAAAAAAAAAATGTTGAATATACTGTACCATTAGTAAGCCAATTATTCTACAGTTATTTTCCAGCTGCAAATATATTTTAAACTATAATATTATATATTTACTCACACTATGTAAGAGCAAAGCAATTTTCCTGATGTTCAATGAATTAAATTTTATTGTGTAACCCTGAATTATATACTATTACACAAAACTGGAGTTGTAGATTATGTTTTCCAATCTCATGCACTAAGCTTAGCATCTGCACATCTATTAAACCCTGCAAAAATTGAGTGACTTCGTATTGGATTAGAATAAAATAAATTAATAAAAACAAAGCCAATTTAGAATAAAGGTTTATTTAGTATTATACAGTAGCTAATGATCGACATTTATTAGCAGTTTTTTTTTTTTTTTTTTTTCTGTGAAGCAGGGAAAACTAGTCAAAGAGACACCCATATCCCGCTAAAATTATGGGATGAGTTAAGTTGGTGGTGAACAGTCAATCCAGCAAATTTTGAAAACTTGTTTATACAAGGAGAAATTTTCAGCTACAAGGTTTGAGCTTAATAAAATGTATAGTTCCTATTTATTGATATTTTTGTTACAATTCACAATCTTTAGATATATACTAAATACCATTGAAATTTTTTATTAGCTATTAAACAATGTTTATGTGTTTTTAGACTCAAGCAATAAATTTATTATATGCAACATTTAACTTTTTGAAATTAATTTTAAATATTATTTAGTTTGCATGATGTGATATTACAGCTTATGAGGGTTTCATTATATTTTGCTTATGCTTTAAATATTAACTTTGAAATACGATATCATTATATGAATAAGATTAATATAACATCATCTTGCTTAATGATACTCAGGTACAGAGGGTAGAAGAGGAAATAGCGATGAACCTGTGATTTAGATTATGAATGGATTAAAGGGATTAGGATGGATCAAAGGGATTTGGAGATAACATGATAACATCATTACTCAAATTTATTTTTTGTTTTTGTTGATCTAAAAATACAATCAGATGAAATTGGAGTTATTTTTTAAGAGAAAGGGACTTTTTTTTTATCATTATGAAAAATACAACTTCACTCCATAAGCTTCATAGTGATACTTACGATATAGGGAACTGTAAAGGTTGTTTTATCATGACTAATATTAAACAAATCTGTAAGTCTCACTTTCTATAGGAAGCATTACATAGCTTTTTTCCCAAGTAATTGGTGAGACTATTTGCTGGGGTATTACAGTAATTTAAAAACATCACAATAGTATTAACTGAATTTCATTCAAAACAATTCTTGGCTAGATGTTAGAAGTTGCACAGAACAAGCAATGATTAACATAGTAAGAGATGTAAATGAAACCACATGTAGTAAAAGAAAAACAATTACAGTTTTAGATGTATTGATACAGCAAAGAGTTGTACAGAAAACGAATATTTACAAATTAGACTTATGATCATCATTTTGATTGAATCAAATCTAATTGTTATTAAGCCCTAAGAAGATGTTGCTACATACAAAGGTTTTCCAAAGCTAAATTGCACAGATGTAAGAGGTAGAAGATGATAATAATAAAATGAGGAAAAATACAAGAGGGTCATTTTAACAAATAGAGGGCGCTGCCATTGTACCATTATCTCAAGCTATCTTTGTTGCAAACACTCATAAAACAGTTATTAAAATCTTTTGTATTAATGTTATTTCAATGAATATTAAAAATTAAAATGCTCTCAATTAAACATATAGATATCACATCATGATTTGAATGACAAAACATTATTTTTTAAATGTATTAAAAAGGCACCGATAAAGTAAAGCTATGATGACACAGACGGCTGTATTATGCAACATTTGCATCAATGATTTATATTCATTAAAATAAAACAAAAAGTAATAATTAATCGGGTTTTTACTAGCAGGGGTATTTTATTTAACAAGTAAAGTTAACTCAAAATCTATTTTAATAGTCACAAATTTCCGTATAACACATTTTCTATTTATAGGATTACATCACCACACACGAGGTATTTTTGGCTTAACTTCTTTAAGAAAAATTAAATAACAAAAAGTATAATAAATATAATGAAATTAAAGGGCAAAAAAAATATTAGTATTATGGTTTTCATTATTGAATTTGAAGTATATAATATATATTAATGCATACTGTGATAATTATTTATGTTTCACTTAAAGTGGGTAGTTATAAATTAAAGTTAAAAACGCAAAAAACGATAAGGAACTAATAAAATTGATCACAGATTTCATTTGTACACCCACCCACACACACACACACACACACACCTACCCCCACAGATACCCACCCACACCTGAGACACCATAACACATAGTTTCCCTGTCCCACAAAACCCCTCACACACTCTTATAGTTATATACATTAACGTTATTACTTGCAAATACGATTATAATTTAAATGACAAAATAAAAACATACTAATAATCATAAATTGTATATATTTTCTAAAATCTAACTATATCTATATTTGGATTAGTTTTTTAATTAAATGTTAATTTATGTTCAACCACAAGGCTTTAATATTCATTGAGTATATATCTATATATATATTTATATAATACCAAAATTGATTAACAAAAAAGAGTATAATACAGATTATAATTATTACTTAGTAAAAAATGTTTCTGTATAATATTCCAATAAACACATACACATTGGCACCAATAATTATATAATTTTCAGCGTTGCTAAGAATGGTTCACAACCAAATCACCTGACTTTCGAAAATTGCACATGACAGCTGATGTATAGGACACCCTCGTTTGTGGTTTGTTACCTATACTATACCAACAACATTCATTTCCCTCGATATATAATAAATTTTTAAAATGAAAATGAAATTATATGAACAAAAACAGGTTTGGAATTACTGTTGCTCAGTACTATCACTTGTCAATCAATCAATCAATCAATAAATACCTGGAAGAACATTATAGTTGTTTAAGCATTTAACCTCAGTATAGATTTATTACTAAGATAAACACAAGATAGCATTCTCCCCAATTTACGCGTAACAAAATAGAAGCATCGATTTGGCAGAAAAGTAATCACTCTTGGAAGAGGGCGCCCTAGATATTGCCGTGGAAGGTGTTCGCGTCACACCAAAGTTTGTTACCAAGTGCGTTTTTGTTCCTTAATTGAGAAGAGAGCATGCATTATAAATCGACACTTCTGATTGTTACGCGTAAAGGTAAAGTCGCGCGGTGTATGTTCTGGTCAAAGCGGTCAAGTTCAAAAGTAATTTACAAGAGGGTGCAGTACACTGCGTTATTACAGAATTTGCAGACAGAAATCGCAGAGAACGTTATCTTGTGTTTAGAGGGTACACTCTACAAAAGGACACTAGAGGGCGCACTCTACAAACCTTAATATAACCAAATTGTAGAGTGTATCCAACATTGTTCTTATGGAAACTCTATACAGATGCTTTACTCTAAAAATAACTATGATCAACATAATCACTGAAATGCTTGGTGAAAGCGCGGAAGCCCTTGAATCATTGGTTGGTTATATTGACCCTGGCTCATACCACTCTGTGCAGAGGGGTAGCGAACCGTCTGTGATTGAATTCCTTGGTTAGGCATCGTCATAGGCTGCGAATGAGGTAGTTCCGACTGTGTCACGTACGCTGAAGACTGAGGTAATGCACTTGGGGACTGCTTCATCGGCATTGATGCGGATGCCGTGTGAGGGGGGTTAGCAGTTTGTTGCATCGGCTGATTAATCGGAAGAAATCCTAACAACCGACCGAGATCATAACTATTGGGATTCAGCGTGTCAGTTAAATCTTGCATATCTTTGTTATCTCGACCCGTGTCCATCATACCCATGTCCATTGACATGCCGGCAGGCGACTCTTTCATGTTAGAACCAATCTTTGGTGATATTCGTACATCTGTCTGTGATCGTTCCACCATCACACGGCCATGTGATCTTATGTGAGGGACCGGTGGAACCTTTATTAGGTCCACATCATTTGGGGGCGGTTGCCCTAGAGAGGATGGTGCATTTGGCACAAAGTCTGACATCGGTAGCGGAGCAAGTTCATCGAGATGCTGCTGAAGTATCTGATGAACAGTTGCCGTGCCAACTGCCCGTAAATGTTCACCCATCTTCATCCCGAATTGCTCTCCATTATGACTCTTGCGAGTGTGTCTCACCAAATGGTCCTTACGTCCAAACCTTTGACCGCAAGTTTGACAAAGAAAGTTTTTCTGACCCGTATGTACTACCATGTGTCTTCGCACATCTTTGCGTGTGTAGAATTTACGATCGCAATCATCACATTTGTGCTTTTTTTCCTTTGCGCCATTACTCTTACCCGAGTGTACCTTAATGTGTTCTATAAGCACGTCGGTATTTTCAAAGTCTCTATCACACACTTTACAAGTAAGTTCACCAGCATCAGCGGCATGCATTGCTATATGTTTTTTAAAACCTGGTTTAGTGTTATACACCTTGCTACAATTCTCACAGTGAAATGACTCCTTATTAGGATCATGTGTTTGCAGATGGTTTTTCAAGTGATCTTTGCGGTGAAATTTCTTGTCGCAGTATTGGCAATGATGGGTCTTTTCCGGTGAATGGGTTGCCATATGTCGAGATAATTTATAACTTGAAATAAATGCCTTTTTACAATCAGGCTTTGTGCAAATAAATGGACGTTCCCCTGAGTGCATATAACTGTGGGTTTTTAATTTCTCCATATTCAGGAAGATTTTTGAGCATTGATCACACGAAAAAGTTACTTGTTCCTTATGCTTACGACCTTTTCCATGTCGCCCAATCAACTTCTCTTTCCCAGTCTTTAGCACAATCATCTGTTTACCTGCCCGTGTTAATGGTCCGTCTCGTGGATTACTGGAGCTTGTTTGTGCCCCTGTCATTTTCTTTGATTTGGGTTTTCGTCCACGGCGTGGTTTCCCTGTCTCACATGTATGTACTTCAAGTAAAGAGAAGGTACTGAATCCCCTATTACATGTTGAGCATTTCCATGGGTCAGATAGCGTGGTGGGTTGTAAACTCGAAGATGCCTAGAATAAACATCAAAAAACAATAAAATATTCATCATTCACTCAAATAATCAACAATTATTAATTATGTAGTTCTATTAGAGGATGCAGGGCGAAAGCACAACCCTATGGCTAGACCCGATAAAGGGACAATTATGAAGAAAGGTTAGAGCCAGCTTGTCGACAAAAGAATTGAAAGTTAAAATACAAAATTTGTGCCATTTAGCACTATTTACTGCAAGTTCCAATGGTTCATTTCACTCCTCTACCAATATTTAACAATAAAAACACATGTTAAAAATAACACAATACCTGAGGATCATTCAGATTTGAAGAAGACTGTAGCATCGATAAATCTGGTTTAAATTCTTCTTGAGGATTCTCTGTGACGTCGGTGAAGTCATATTCTGGTGTTGATAAGTGACTTCCACCAGCCTGGGATGACGACTGCATTACTGATACCTGAGGGGATTCTATAAAACAGGAATTAAAATAAGAAAAATGTTAATTAAATTTAAAAAAAAAAAAAAATTCAGCTAATCCTCTCCATAGTCTTCATATTTTCAATATGGATCGTTTGATTTGCGCGACATAACGCTAGAATAGATTCACGCATCCTAACTATCCTACGTTCTCTGCACAATGCAAATTCAGGATAAACTGCATCCTAGAATCCAGGCAACAACAAGAACGCAGATGACTTCTTAGTGACGTAATTATGTTCTAAAACCTACCGTCGTCGTGCAAGTTAAAGCTCCCTAATAAAAATCTTAATCCCTGTGGTATGTAATGTAAGTGTAATCTTAAAGTCATCTCCTGATGATCTCAGAGAAACACTTGGCACAACCTACAACTGAACACTCTTCCTACAACCAATGATAAACCAGGAAGTTTGTTTCTTATTATTTTCAATATTCATTAGACACTCATTACTATTCATGATGACATTTCAATATCTGATACATAAAAATATTGAATTAGTAATGACTATCATCTTCCGTTTTTACTCTTCCTCATCAACTTATCAACGACAAATATGTTCATGGTACTCATCAATATGATAGTATGACATTAATATTTATGACTTTTCTTCATCAAATGAGTAATCATAGTATTTCCTGTTTTAAAAAAGTTCTTGACATTTTTCCCTCATCGACTGATCTAGGTCATACATATTCATGATTAGACATCAATATTCCTATCATTCAATTAAATTAATATTATTGTTCTCTAGTTAGTTTTCCGGGGTACAAAGTTCATTCTTTTTCTTCCACAAAAAATAGAGCCAGGTGTGGTGATATTTTAAGTAGTATACAAACAAGTAGGAACGACTAAATATTTCTGCCCCATATTTCAAAGGTAGGACAAGCTGCATATTTCTGCGCTACAACTATAATGTTCCATGTGTCTCAGCAATTTTATCAAAGCTAACCTTCATCCTGCACCTTAGGGAGATAAATTATATTGAAATAACACTATTCATACTACAGTATTACCAATCAAATAGTAACATACAAGAATTTTACAAAAATAATGAATACTGCCCTCTAGAATTAAATTTTATCAAAGTTTCTTGTCAATACACAGATCATGTTTAACTATCAAGAGGGAAGGTATGGGGAAGAGGATATGTTTCCCTGGGAATATTTCCAATAGAATTACTCCTTAAGCCCAAAAGCACACAAAAGCTACCTGTTTTTTGGTTTTTTTACAAAATTTTATTTAGCTTTAGGTGGCTGAGTCCCTTCACAAGACAATCATTCACACAAGATACTCTACATAGACTAAGTCTGAGCATGAGGCAAGTGATTTGGGTGGGAAACGAACCCACAACTTCCAGATAATCAGCCTGGTGTCACAACCACTAGACCGAGCTAGTGCAATTTGATGTAATTTAATGAATGTTATATTTATATTAGTAGTGCCATCTGAATTGTGATGTAATTTAATTAATGTGTCTTTTTTGTATTTTATGCAAAATGGACCATGAATTTCCAACATATTTAATGGATATTAAAAGATTATTATTTTATCTTATCTTAGCAGCTAGAGTTAAATCTGATCACCAAATAAAAAGCTTTAGGCTCAAGGACAAGGATATGATATGGCAAACAGTGAACTTAATCCCTTTTAAAATTTTTAATCCCTTCACAAGACAATCATACACACAAGATACTCTACATAGAAAAAATCTCATTTCCAAATACTTGCACATTTTTTTGTAACATGCGTATGAAAATACCACTTCTTTACGGTGGATTAACATGTTTCCGCATTTATAGTGACTGGTTCTAGTCAAGAAGAATCTGATGTGTAAACATATCCAGGGTCTGTAGCCAACTTGCATTTAAGGCTGAAACAGAATGTGAATAATTTTTTCAGCCGGTCTACAATGCAAGCCAAAGTACAGCATCTATTCCTGGCTAGAAGTGGACAGCAAAGGACTCCCATGAGATTAAAAACCTGAACAGCAAATGCTGCAGCAACTGCCTGTCTGAACGGTTGTATTCATTTATAAATTACAATATAGGCAGATCCAGAGCAGCGGCAATGTCAGCGGGTCGTATTTTAGATTTTTTTTAGAAATGCTTTTAGACAGGCTCTAGTATGGAATTTAAATCGAAAATTAGCTTGGTTTGTAATACGCATACAGTACTGTGTTCCCCTCTTCATCCTTTCTTTTCTGTAATTATCTCTTTTTTTCTTTTTCTTTGGGACCCTAGCCTCCCTAGCCTCCTGGATCCAGTCTTGTATAAGGTCTGTTTTCCATACCTGTTTTTGTTGTACTAAGCGGGTTGTACAGAAGCTTTGTCTGCATTTTATTGGCGTACTCTGCAGCGTACCAGACTTTCAATTCTGTATGTGGTGGAATGGGCTGAAAAAATGAAAAGAAAACATCAAATATAACATCTACCCTTTTAGATATTTTATTAAGCAAATAATATTTTAATATTTTTTTTTTGCAAAGTCATTCAGATAAAAATATCTTAAACATTTAATGGGTTTATGTCTCCTTTCCTACTCATCAAACAAGCCAAACCAGTCAATTGCCGCAAAAATCAATTTTTAGATATTAATACAGAGTTGAACAGTAAAATGAGAACTATAAAATGGTAAAAAAAATTAATATTAAATCCGACATTTCGTTATGAAGTACAGGACTTTAAACATACAACTGTTTACAGAATAATAATATTTGAGATATCAGCCCTCAAAGTTTATGATTTTGGGGTTTTCTCAGGCAAAAACCATCACCAAATTGTTAAAAATTGTTGTTTTAACATTTAAAATGGAGGTAATATCAGCATAGCATGATGTATAGATACATAGAGGTTATTTTAGTGCAATAAAATAGATTTGAACAATTTTGACATTCCAGCATGTTTTGGCCATTACCTCTGAAACAGGATTTGCAACGAGTGACTGGTTTAGCTGGTCTTTGCCACAAATGAAGAAACTTTGTTTTACAGGTATTGCTTGCTAGCACCAAAGTTAATAAAGTCAACTAATAAGTCATTAATTCAATCTAAAACATTAAATAAATTAAGTAATTACATATTTCCCACTCATCATGTGAGGAGTCTTCTTCTCTACCCATAGTAGACAAATAACATTTGCTAGTTATTTATAGATACAACCATCATCATCATCATCATCATCATCACCATCATCATCATCAGCATTTACTTGATTATCATCACCATCAGCATTTTACTTGATTAGACCATACTTTTTTTTAGGATAACCTTCCAACTAAGCTAACAATATCCTCACCCCCCCCCCATCCCTCATTAATGCACAAGGCTACAAAAGAAGTAAACGAAGTGCACCTCAAACTGCTGCTAAGCCACAGTCTCCATAGCTTTTACAGCAGACGTTTCTTTCTAACTAATATACTATACAATATAATATTGTACAAAGCGCAAATAAAGTATACAATACAGTATTTTCCACTGTAGTATGCAGCTTGTGAACTCAGATTAATAATTATACATTAAATAACTATATAGTGAGTTCTCATATAAATTTTTAATAAAAATAAATAGGTTCTGATAATCAGCTTAACAACCTGTAAAATCTGTGATTTACCTGTCAGGCACTCGTAACAACCACGTCCAAGTGTAGTTTCTCTGTACCGAAGTGCTATCACTGTTACCGGTATAGATGGCACTCCGGTACATAAGTACGATCACTGTACTATGGGATAGCAATTTTACGGATACTATCACTGTACCATGTGATAGCAATTTGGTACAGAAGTGCTACCATCTGGTACAGTGACGTATCGATGTAGGACTTTATCATTGAAGATGAAGTTGAGTACGATCAAAAAGCATCAACAACAAAAATTAACTCAATACCTTTATTATATAAATATACAATAGAGCATCATCTTCATAATAATATAAATATAAAATAGAGCATCCTCGTCACACTTCCCTTGACCCAGTTAAACCTAACCAGACCTAACCAAGCTTTTAATAATAGAATATGCTGAAATTTATAACGCGCCAATTCAAAAAACATTATCAAAGGCGCATTGAACAATTAACCCAATTAAAGCGATTTTATAAACAAAAAAGTTTTCAAATTAGTTTTAAATGAGTTTAAATTTGAAGATTGTTGAACAGAAAGAGGTAATATATTCCAAAGATAAGGTGCCTGAACAGAAAAAGAGCGTTGTCTATATGTTTTTAGCTTTCTCCTTTTACAATGCTTCTATGCCTCATATTTTTCATGGGTTGGAACAACAGCACTTTAGGCAAATGTTGTCAACAATGAGGTCAGTAAAATCATGAGATTCCCACAAAATGTACTCAGATAATCATATTTTATTTGTCAGTGATAAACCAATTTGACAAGAGCAGACAGAAAAATTTTAAGAAATCAAGTCTGTCAAAATTTTTTCGATTGCATAATAGGAATCTATAAGGTACCTGCATTTTTGCTAGAAACAAAAAAAAAATGTTTTCGAACCATGCATAGAAAACAGATTTCATGTTTCATATTTTTCTTTTGTATCCCTATATTGTTATTTTATCTTTAATAAAATTTATATTAATCTTTCATCATAAACAAAGTTTGGAAATATCAATTATTATGGAAAATGGAAAGATTATACGAGAACTTACCTGGGATCACAATAATCAATGAAATTACATTTTTTTGGCTACATTTTACAGTTAATATCATAAGAACACAGAAAATGATGCATCCATATGAAGAACTTGATACGTTATTTTGATTTATTTCCACATCTTTAAAAGCTTAACTTTTTGTATTAACATATTTAAATGCTTAACTTTTTGCATTAATACCTTTAAATGCTTAACTTTTTGTATTAATATCTTTAAATGCTTAACTTTTTGCATTAATACCTTTAAATGCTTAACTTTTTGTATTAACATATTTAAATGGTTAACTTTTTGTATTAATATCTTTAAATGCTTAACTATTTGTATTAATATCTTTAAATGCTTAACTTTTTGCATTAATACCTTTAAATGCTTAACTTTTTGTATTAACATATTTAAATGCTTAACTTTTTGTATTAATATCTTTAAATGCTTAACTATTTGTATTAATATCTTTAAATGCTTAAATTTTTGTATTAATACCTTTAAATGCTTAACTTTTTGTATTAACATCTTTAAATCCTTAACTTTTTTTATTAATATCTGTAAATGCATAACTTTTTAGTATTAATATTGTTTGTATTAATGTGAAAATTTTATATTTTTAAATTCAATTTTACACCCGTGTCAAAGAAAGAACTTAAGATTACATATGCAAAGCCAGGTTCCAGTGGGAAAAAATGTTTGATACGTTGTACAACTAAAGACACAAAAAGGGTGTTTGACGAAAATCTTGAGAAGGGTTAGTGAGATATTAAAAAATTTGTATCTCATTAACCATTTCTAGAGTTTTTCCTCTGAAGACTGGCTTTCAGATTACATGATTAAAGTACAACAATATCAAAGTCTTACCTTGGATGTTGTAAAGTAAACGTCATTATTCCATTGGTAAGCTACAACATTCTGTTCAAAATATTCCTCAGCAGGCCTGACGAACATCATCCAATTACAAACATCCTCGCAACTTGTGTCAAGGATCGCCTGCTGTAAATTATCTTGGAATATCTAACAAAAAAATATCATAGATACAAGGTAACTTCATTGTCTAATGTACGGATGTAACTGAGACTTGCCTTCGGCAACATAAAATACTGAAGAAATGCACTGTGTTAAAAACTTAATTTTGCAATTAATATACACACTGCCAGTATCAATATAATACAGATACAGTCATATTTAAACAATCCAAAATTTAAACAAATAGAACTAAATATAAACTAACGAAGTAGACATATTTCATACATTCTTACCACTTGACAATATAACTATTTTCCAAGATGTATTAATCCATTTTGCATGTTAAAAATACAAAAATCCTGAGGTCTCTTTTGATTGTATGTGATACTTAAAACTCTGTTCTGCCTAAATGTATTTGACTGAGGATAAGAATTCAATCTGAACTTCTACATTATTTTTTCCAATAAATAATAATATGGAGGAAAATTTAAAAAGACCATTTTGAACACTGTAGCAGCCTCAGATAATATCTGAATGATATTCACAGATTCGCATAATACTCTGTCTGGCTAATCTGAACAAAATGGCTCTCCAAACCACTATACTAAATAAAACAGCTCTAGAACCAAACGAAGGTCACAACTAATGTGCATAATAAAAAATATATAAATAATATATTTAATTAGTTATATAATGAAATAAATTATATAAGATTTGATAATTTGCATAAAGGTTTCTATGGGAGAAAAAAACATCAATTTGCTAATGATGATATCACATCATGACCATATATAGGCATACCACGACTACACATGGGCATACAACAGTTTTTTCAAATAAAATTTGATAGTCTAATGTGCCTTTCGTGGTATATAGTAACAGAAAACAAAAAGAAATAAGTGACTGTAATAAGGCGATTATCTGGCAGCCTATTGATGTCGACACCTGTATGCTAATTTTTACTTAAAGATGTACTGTTCCTTGTCAAAAAAATCATAAAAATCATTTATGAAATTAACTTGCCCATTTTGAAGTAACATAAAAAATATCAACTTGAACATAGAATTAGTGTATTTAAAAAATACTTACCCATAAAAACCATCATTTTACAGCAAAAAAATGATAGAAACACTTCCAGTCACTAGAAGTGTTTTATAACCTTTATTATAATCCGGTTGAAAAATCAGGGAACACATTTTTTTTATTTAATAATTTCTATGCTCAAGTTTATAATTTGTATGTTACTGCAAGATGAGCAAGTTAATTAAAACATTATTTTTTATGATTTTGGTCATTTTCAAGGGCAGCAAGTCTTTAGTGGATTGGTTGCGACACCTCAATCCAACTGATGTAAACAGTATGACATCATGAAAGTAAACTGAGATTGGTGGGTAATCAATGCACAAATGAACAACTTCCAAATTACTCTCCAGTCTATCAATTTTTTTTTACAATGGTCATGATGACATCACATCATGACTTTCTTTATATGGGCATACCACAGTTTTTTTCAACAAAAACTTGATAATCTGGCCAGAGCTTAAGATTAATAATAACATTTTTTTGTTGTTAAATAAGATTATGCTAGTTCTTACCTTATAACAAGGCCTGTGAGTATCGTTGTTGTTTGTTTCAACCTTTGTAAGAGACCGGGGTGCAATGAAGGGGCCAAATTGAGTTCGCCTCTGGATTAGCTTTCGTGCAAATACACCAAGAACTAAAGAAAAATAAAAAATGAGAAAGATACTGGATTAAGTAGGTGTAGAAAATTTTATTTTTAACAAAGTTAGTGATTGGGTTTCAATCCCTTGCTGTATATATCGCTTGTGTTCTTGGGCAAGGCACTTCATCTACAGTACATTGCTTCAGTCTACCCAGCTGTATCAACGGGTACTAGCAAAGTGCTTTGAGTAACCTGTGGTGGATTAGCGTCACACCCAGGGGGAGTATCACACTCTCATCTGCTTCACGCTACAGAAACTGAGGATAGCTCGGCAAGGATTTCCTTTTTACTGATTTGACACACTCTTCTTTGGCATGCGATATACGAAACCAAACACTATTACTATTTTTATCATTATTAATTATATTTTTACAAAATTACAAATCAAATAAAACATGTGGTTATAAATATCAACTGATTTAAATACCGGAAGTAAAAATTATGATAAATAACAATCTCTGAAATCTGCCAAGATCCAATCTTTATTTGTCCTTGATTAAACACTTACTCCTAATGGATATTTCCAGAATGTCAACCACACTTAAACTCTGACCAATCGGAACAGAATAATGTCACTCACACTTAAAAACTGACCAATCAGAACAGATTAATGTAAATCACACTTAAAAACTGACCAATCAGAACAGATAAATGTTAATCCCACTTAAGAACTGACCAATCCGAACAGATTAATGTCTATCACAAGTAAAAACTGACCAATCAGAACAGATTAATGTCAATGACACGTAAAAACTGACCTATCAGAACAGATTAATGTCAATCACACATAAAAACTGACCAATCAGAACAGATTAATGTCAATCACACTTAAAAACTGACCAATCAGAACAGATTAATGTCAATCACACATAAAAACTGACCAATCAGAACAGATTAATGTCAATCACACTTAAAAACTGACCAATCAGAACAGGGCCAAGAATACAATGTCCCCTAAACACACATTATCAATAATAAAGGGGCATGGGTTAGTAGAAGGGTCTATTACCTCATCCATCAAATGGGCCATTAAGCTGTTGTTCATGTGAACATTGGCTAATATGAGCAAAAAAAGAAGCCTCAGAACACTATTGTAAGAAGGATTGCCGCTTATATGTAAAACAGTGATGTATTCCGTATTGATAATTCTCAGCTCATGTGCAGTATCAAGCTTGTATCTGGTAGTACTTGTCTGACTAACAGCAGGGAAGCCTCATTTCTAATGAATCATCATTAAGCTGTTAAAAGTATAATCAAACATAGTAATACGGAGTCACATGACCATGTCACATGACGTGGGAAGGCTTTCATTATAAACTCAATATCATTACTTCCTCGAAATGATTCAGTACCGGTAACTAACATCCTGGCAAAGATTTTAGATTGCACCTGATAAAATAAAAATCATTTTTTTTTTTTGAATAATTCATCCACAATAACTTTTAAAATATTTAATATTTTGTAAACATATATTTATTTATACTGGAACATAGGGTAATTATGTCTTAGTTTCAAATCCTCCATAAAAATACAAAAATAACAACAATTCCACTTTCCAATATGGACATAAGAAGGTAATTCTATCCATGTTTTGATACAAAAAAGAAAACTTTTCATTTAGTTTCTGAAATTAATCATCCATATTTTAAAATAAAACTTCATAGCAATTTACACTAAAAATTCATTTGGACCCTGCTTTCTTTTTCTTTTCTAAAAATGGGAAATATAGGCCTATTTCTAGTATGTATGACTGACCTCCTTACTCTTTTAAATGCACAGAAGATACATTTTTATGATTTATTACTAATTTTGTATTTACAAGCATAAAAATAGGTGCATATAACAATTGTGAGATACTTCGTTTTAAAGGCAATACATTTTTTAAATTTTGCTAAAAGCTTATGATAAATTTATAAATACTGTACTGTACAATTGTAATGATACAATATAACAATGGTGGCAAGCAGGACAAAGATGACGACAACAACAATAAAATATTGTGATATATGCTTTAGAAATGAGAAAGGAAAAACTAAACAAAACAAAAGAAATGCCATGGAGGTATATAAAATAATTTATTTTATCTCCTTGGAAAAACCTAAATCCTCAAAACAACAGGTTGAAAAGTAATAAAGAGAAAAGCTATACCTAACATGTAATATAAGTTTAGAATACACATAATGCATAATGCGCGAGTCTCCACTTGTAATGCATGAGCATCCATTTATGTCACATGTCTAAGTTGTATTACCACAGTGATCACAAAAGTATTTATAAAAAATAATATGTATAGGTTGATTAAACCTTAAATTTCATTAAATTGAAGTGAATTAGTCATTAAAATGTGAAAACAGGCCATATAAATTTCTTTTAACAAAGGTATACCAAGGATTGTATCCATAGTAGTTCCACAAAAATGAAAAATAAAAAAAAACATAGAGGGTGTCTATTTTGTGATTTTCGCATAGAGGGCACTATATATAAATTTCTTTTTGGTCTCACGAGTCAGACACCAACAGATTTAGCAAGGATAAGAACAATTTTGTTTTATTGACGTGTTGGAGTAGACACATGATAGATGTCAAAAACACCAGTAACTTCTGTACAACATGATGCGCACACTTATGTAAAAAAAAAAAAAAAAACATGTAGAAAACACATATGTTCATTTTTTAATAAAAACGAAAAGCTTATAAAGTTATGAAGGAAATTATGTGTAATGGCCTACCAACCTTCAGCCCTCCCTCCTAATCATCTCAGCATGACCTCTTTATTGAAAGGTCAAGTTCACATGAACTCATCCATTTGTAGACAATATAACAACCTTCACTCGATTATTACAGTTACAAGGGCATTCACTCAGAGATGCAAAAATTCATAAATGCCAACAAAATAAAAAGAATATTTATAAATTTATGAAACTCATTAACAGTCTATGGTGTAGATCATATTAAAAATGATATAAAAATAGCTGAAGGTTATTAATTAAAGAAATGATCAACATTTCAAGAGATTAAAATTAATTAATAAAATACAGAAGGAAGTTAAGAAGGTTGTACTGAAGTATTGTATATATTCGGAACAGACTGATGACATCACAAGTGGCATCATCAGCCTGAGCTCTCATAAATTGAACCTTGGTCAGTTTAATGTCCAGTTATATTGACAGCCAGTTTCACCAACACTGTCTGTTACAGAACGCAGGCCCATATTTTGTATTGCATTTATTGTTTTAAAGAAAAATCTGTTTTGTTTAATTTACCATGTGTCTTAAAATTTGTGACAAAATCTGGAACACTTAAAAATTCAATGTTACATTGAATTGCTCATTTAAAAAAGCTACTGTAAATTAAGTTTATCAATTTGTAATAAGACACATATCAAAACAATTTAGTTTTCGCTGATTTACATATAATTATAAATATCCTGAAATTAATTACCAGCCAATTTAGGGGCCATTCATATTTATCAACGTTTCCAAAAGAGTACAAAACATAGGGGGGAGGGGGTTGAAAATGTAGGCGTGAGTACACTTTTAAGAAAGAGATAAAATGTTGATGTCAAAAAGACACAATTTAACATTTTTGTGTCTACTCTTTCGGGGGGGGGGGGGGCGAGGGTTACAGAAAAGAGAATGTTTTGTACTCTTTTGAAAATGTTGAAAATTATGGACGACCCATTAAGAGTTTATAAAAATAAATAAAGAAATGATATTATATCTCTTAATTGGTAATGAAATAAATGACCATTTTTAAATTGAAAGCAAATTACTTAAATATACATTATTATTAGGAATACATGTATTTTATTTTTTGGCTCAAGGCCAAGTTATGTCAACTGATTTACTATGTGGCAATCCTATCACAAGACAAACATCCAAACAAGATGCTCCAATAAGTTTCATTATGAGTTGTTCTTGGGTCTTGAGAAAAAATCCTTTTACTATGATAAGAATTCAATCTAGGATTCAGGGCAGGTCCACCCTGCCTTGAAGTTTTCACCCAGTCTAAAGCTAATTTCATGGCAGTCCACCTGCCTTTATTAATCCACTCTTATTTATTACAGTTTACCAACGTTATCACCCACCCACCCTTAAAATGTTTACCATCCACCATTGCACCGGGTAATCACTGCGCCGCATGGCAGTGGTACAACTACAAATTCGCTCCATGTGAGCGTTAGGCGATGCTACGCCGTCTACTGATTGCCGGTGGCAGTAGGAACTTATTGTCAATAAGAACGATATGTTGCGCACACATCATAGTGCTGCGTCCTCCATAAAATTGCATCAGCCAATGGCCATAGGGCTATGTGTGTGGCTGGATTCAATTTTTGTATAGTTGCAAACTTAGAGATTTGGATGTGAAGCATCTTAACCACCAAGCTACAGACTACTTTGCTAAAAACATTCACAATTATCAACCTTTCCACAAGTGTACAAATAGTACTCTTATTCGGTACCCCCTCCATCCAATCTGAAAGTGTACAAAAAAAAATGTGTATTTTGTAAAACAATTCTCCATTTTTTTGTGAAGCAATGTACTTGGTTGCTTAAAAATGAATATTATATCCATGGTTACATTATAATTTTACCATTATTTTACATAGTACATGTTATTTTGAATCAACACTTTCATGCATAAGTAAAAGTGTACAAATGTGTCTACCCCCTCCCCTCTAGCTACCCACTCCCCTCTAGCTACCCCCTCCCCTCTAGCGTACTGTTTGTACTCTTGTGAAGATGTTGATTAAATGTTGAACGACCTCTAATTAATTCAAATATCAAGTTTATTTTCGTACCACTTAGGTCAACAGAGATATATTTCTACATGTTGAATGCTACGTGATATGCATTAATTCTCACTCACACCGAGACAAAATATATGTATATAAATTTCAAAATTTATCTATCAGCAAATTAACTAACTCTAAGGTCATATCTAAGCCATTTGCAGAAAATTCACATGCTATAGAAAAATTTATTACCCGAGAGT